AATTTGTTATGTTGGTGCAACTACACATGTGCACAAATGAGGGTGCTGCGAATTTAACATTTTTTTTTAATCTTGCCAATTTCTTTTACAATTTTTTACTTGCCATTTCCATCACTTTTGTTATTATCTAATAACACATGTGGTGGAAACCTGGCTAGATTAAAACAAAATTCAAAACAATATGAAAAAATTTATAAAAAATAAAATAAAAAATTTCTCAGCTTCCCTCGTTCATGTGTGTGTGTGGGTTGCACCTACATAACAAATTTAGTCCAATGTAGTCCTAAAACAAAACTTTCCCTTTTGTCATACATTTTTCCCGAGCATTGTCCTTTATTTATAAAAAATATGCATTGTTATCTCACATATTTAAAATACATACATACATACATACATATATATATATATATATATATATATATATATATATATATATATATATATATATATTCTGTTTTCATGCGAGAAGCTATTGGTTATCATGAAACAGTCTGTCACCTCTAAGTGTTGACTTCAATGTGCACTTTTATATTTACATACACTTTATCTTTGATATTGAGCACTTTATCCCATAAATATAGCACACCTTAAAACTATATTTCACCATAAATATATATATATATATATATATATATATATATGTCTGTGTGTGTGTATACCCATGTGTGTATGCATATATATATATATATATATATATATATATATATATATATATATATATATATATATATATATCAATTCCAAATAATTTGGACCAATTTTAAATGTGAATTAAGTCTAAGTGTCTAATGATTTTTTTTCTATGTCATTCAGATTTAACAACTTAAGTCTTTGACAATTTCAACGATGGAAATATTAACAATCAAACATGTTAAGTTATCGAAGCATATTACAAAAATGGACATTAAAACAGAAATACATTTGGCACACTCTGCGCTTTTTTGGACAACATAATCAACCAACCGAGAGTTCAATTGGAAATGATTTAACATTGTTGTGGAGAGGTTCAATTTCTGTGTCTGATGATGAATAGAGGGGTCTGGATTTTGGGGCCACATTCTCATGCACTGCAGCAAGGTTTTCAGCTAAACAGCATAAAAGAGCACGCAATGGTGTTTTCACATCTGCCAATGACCAAGTTTGTTTGAATTTACAAACAGTTTTTGTAATTGGTTTCAATAACTTTAACACGGTCATTGCTTGTTAATCTTTCCATGGTTGAAATTGCCAAAGACTTCAGTTGTTAAATTTGAAAGAAAAAGAAAAATCATTAGACGCTTAAACTTAATTCAAATTTAAAATCAGTCCAAGTTATTGGAACACCCTTTATATATACATACATATATATATGTGCATATGTGTGTGTGTGTTTATATATATGTGTATATATATATTTATATATGTGTATATATATATATATGTATATATATATATATACATATATATGCATATATATATAATATATACATACATATATATATATATGTATATTTGCATGTGTGTGTATGTATATATATATATATATATATAAAAAGAAATATAGTCTTAAGGTGTGCTATATTTATGGGGTAAAGTGCTCAATATCAGAGATAGAGGCGTGTGTAAATATAAAAGTGAACATAGTCAACACTTAGGGCGACAGTCTGTTTCATGCTATATGCAATCGTCAAGCCACCGATTGCATAGTGAAACAGACTGTCGCCCTAAGTATGTTATGTTTATATATATATATATATATATATATATATATATATATATATATATATAGAGAGAGAGAGAGAGATGGATCAAAACTAGGATATATATATATATATATATATATATAGATAGATAGATAGATAGATAGATAGATAAAGAACTGAGATAGATAGATATACACTCTATCTGATATACATAGATAGAACATATTTAGGAACTAACTTAGTCAAATAAAATTGTTTTTGTAACTTTTTATTTCTTCTATGTTTTCCAGAATTACCTAAGCAGCAAAAAATAGCTGAAAACTGAATATAGACAGAGACTAGCAGATATTCTCTCATTTTTGCATCGATTATGGACAATTAAAAAAAATGCTTCTCTATACAGCTTTATACTAAATAATATTGTTACATGTCTGAGAGATATGAGTGAGAGAGAGAGAAAGAGGGAGATGGACACTTGAGTGCTAAAATGTTAACCTGAGTCCCTGATTTTTCAAATATCTCCTTTCTTCAAAAAAAAATACTTATTTTCCAAACCATATATGACCATAAATTTACATTTTTAATTTAAAGAAAATTTAGCAACTCTGATCACACTGTAGTGTCTGTCAACATCTTTTTCAACTCCACTCTCTGCAAAGAACTTCCTACCACTAGAAAATCGTTCTACTATCAACGAGCAGACTGTGACTCGTTCCAGGATTTCATTCGTGATGTGCTTCCGAGGTCTCCTCCTGGGTTAAAGCTGGAATCGAGACTTTCATCCCCCCAAGGAAATATAAGGTCAAATCACACTCCTC